TAGAATGGGAGGGGTGAGAGCAGAGGCCGCAGGGGAAAGGAACGGCTGGGAGGCGGGTGCCGGGTGACGCGGGGAAGCAGCCGCGGGGGAACGGCGGCGGGGCGGCGGCGCGGCGGGGCGCGGGCACGGCCGGCGGGTAGATCACCAGGTGGCCCGCCTGGGCCCGCGGCGGTGGTCCGCACACCGAGCGCTAACGTGAGGCATGAGCTCAAGGCAGGGAGGGGACAGTTTCGAGGGAGGGACAGAAGAACAAACAGCTGGGAGCAGCAGTGGAGGCCAGCAAGGCCGGTGTGGACGGCGTGGCTGAGAAAGGAGGAGTGCGTCAGGGCACTGGCTTTCAAAGTGCGGGCTAAGGTATCCTTATAGGCTGTGAAATCAATCAGTGGTCTACAAAAAAATACTAGACCAAAATACAAGAGTACATTGGACACCGTAGGCATTAATGATGTCTTATGAAAATTTTGCTTATTTTATACAATTTTATAAGTACGTGTGCATACACTAGGTGATATAAAATGATGCATCTCCTACTGTAGTCACTGGCAAAAAAAGTTTGAAAATGCTTGTCTGTAAGAGAACAACGTTGTTTCCTAGGAAGCACTCATCTCTCAGACATCGCCAGGGTCTGGGCGGGGAACAAGGGACGCAGGCTGGTGGGGAGTGTGGCTGATTAGATGTTCGTGCCCACGGGAAGCAGTCGGCCACTGCAGAGCTCCTACAGAATGATGCCGGATGGGAAAACAGGCCCACCGCCAGTAGAGTCATCAACTTCGGAAAGAAGAAACCTCCTTTTCTAAGTGAAATCTCTCAGCGTTTAGCTGTTGTGGGAGGTCTTCAGAGCAAGATGCATGAGGGCTGCCTTGTCACCTCTGATTAAAGGTAAGGAGATGATAGGAGATTCCGTGAAGAGGATACATTGGTAAGTGGAAACTTATTCACGTGGAAAAGGGGTGAAGGCGGGGAACGGGAGGGGAGCTCCACAGCAGCGCAAGCTGGGAAAGGAGGGGCACACAGTCCTTCCCCCAGGAGCCCATCACATTCTATATGACTCAGTAAGACACAAGATGCAAATGATCCAAACATACAAGTATCTAAGTTTCCCTAAAATGCCACACCTTTCTTTATTAAAACATGTCCCCTTCCAGTTCTTCTGGAAGATTCGTGGCTTCAGACAGCAGGGAGCCTTTAACTTTCTTAAACACTGCAACAAATCCCTGCTTTGTGTCCGGTAGGGTACCAACACCCAGACATCTGTTAGGGCGGGTGCTGCAGCACACATGCTGGAGGTTTGGTCTGAGCAATTACACCACCTTTGTCTAAAGTGTGTGTCCAATGATTTGAGTAGCTTACTGAATTCTTCCCCTTTATTTTCACTTTCAAAATGAACAAAAAAGGGACCTAAGTGCTAATCTGAGTGATAAAACAGGTAAATTTCACTGTCAAATGTTACAAACATGGAAGTGATTAACTATGTCAAAAACACTATTCTTCAGCCTCAGGCATGAAACACATGCCAGTAAACTGTGTGATCGAATGTGGGGAAAAAGGAAAAAAATATGATTAAGCTAAATGATAAGCTGTAATTAAGGATTAAATTTTTTTTTTGCAATGTGAGAACAAATTTCCTTATAACATGTACATCTATATCTCTTTTAGACTGATATTTTGAAAAGACACTATAAATGCAGGAAACAGCTTTCACTGAAATTTATAAAATATAGTCGGTTCTTTTTTTTATATACAACCCACTACTGAAAAAAAATACATAAAAATCAGTCTCACTCAACCTTCTCCAAATAATAAACCTGGACATTTATTCAACAGCTGCTGTCTCTATCTGGTCACAGTTCATTTTAACACAGAATTACTTTACTTTTATCATCTACTGTTCTTCTCTGGATTTCAAATTCGTTTGTGGCCATCTTCCTAAATAATTATGGTTTATTTTAACCTTCTTACCTATTGTTGTCCTGTTTTTTCCAACGAGCCAGCAGTGGTAGCCGAGGAGTGACAGCACGCTGATGAAGAACATTGTGGACACAAAGAAAAGGAAAAGGACATGGAATTTTGCACGTGTGTCTGAGAGTTCATTCTGAGGAAAGAAAAAAGATTTATTTTTGAGGCTAGTCAACCTCTAAAATACACTCTTATTATTTGGTTCTTCCTAAAGTTGAATTCACCAAAAAACTGATGAGTGAAAAAAAGAGTAGTTAAATAAATTAGATAATATACCCAAAGCAACAATTCCCAAAGCAGAGAACTGGTATTATCAAGGGCCGTGCTTATGTAACACGTCAGGGAGAGTCATTTAAAAACTGCTCTAAAATTTTAGCAGTACTCTCAGTAATAAAATATAAACATGACGTTTTTTACACAGCATCTTTCTTTTGAACTTTATGCATATATTCAAGCTTTCTCCAACATCCAGGCTATATGAGCCTTTTCCCCATCTATGCTAAAACATTTGCTTAATTACATATGCTGCCAACCAGGAAGTAAGTGTGCTAACGTGACTCTTGTGCCTCCCTAATCTCTATTTTTGGGACACCACTGAGAACGCGCCGACCTCTCCGCACCTGGTATTCCTACCTTGTTAATCCCTGCTCCACTCCTACGGAGCCTTTTTGTAATAAACCAATTTTGGTGTTTAAGTTTGCCACAAGGTATCAGTGAGTGAAGAGAGCTTCTCTGCTACCCGCTGCTGCAACTGTATTCATTTCAACAGAAGCAGAGTCTGAACCTAGACGAAGTCAGCACCCAGCAAAAGGAGCAGGAGGCGGCCTGAAGAGCCTGCTCTCACGATAACGCTGGGCAGGCAGCCCACGGCCTCCACAGCACAGGAGCTGCTCGGCTCACTCGAAATGGCGTTTACAAGCTAAGAGGAAGGCTTTTAGCACTGGGTAATTTATCTGTTCTCTTCCAGAGCAACCACAATACCTTCTGAACATACCTATCTCCCCATCTTGTGAAGTAAATGAGTATTACACACATTCACTACAAATGTCACAAAAGAGATGGCAAGAATGTCATGGCAATAACGCATTTTACCTTTGGACAACTCTCTGTAGATTTCCTGTGGCAAAGCTTGTACAAATAGAGACAACGTATTAAGAAACCACTTTTTATGCAAGGTTACCCTGCCCACTAGTGTTACAATAAACCTTTCACGTTTGGAAGGAACACTAAGCCTCTCTAAAGGTCATCGACGACACTTTCTCAAAAACACAAAAGGACATTTTGCTCTGTAAGCACACTTCAGGTATACTTTATACACCTTTCCACAAAGTTTTTGTAACAGAGATTTGTATCTAGGAAAGAACAGAATTTAAAAAACTTTAAGCAAATAGCTTTTTAAAAAAACTTCTGATGAGTAGTTTCTAAAACCCAGCCCTAACCGTCTCGCCTTTCCTCTGGCTCTGTAGGAGTCTTCTGACGGGTGCTGCCACTGCCCCAGAGAGTCAGACCCCGTTACCCCGCTGCTCCCCACTCCTCAGAGGAGCAGCTGCCATCCTGCGACACCCTCCAAGCCCTTCCACTCGGCCTGCCTCCGGAGCCTCCCCTCAGGCACCCTCCTGCTGGTCTGCCCCAGCCCCACTGGCGTCCTGCACACTGCTCCTCCTCTTGGGTCTTTACTCTGAAGTTCAGGTGTTTCCTCTTAAACAGTCTTCTCTCAGATCCCCACTAAGTCACTTCAGGTCTCTGCTCAACCATTACCTTCCTGCTGACGCCTACCATGGTTACTCTTATAAAAAAACCTTGAGATATAATCGTCATATAATATATTAGTTTCAGGAATTCAACATAAGTATTCCATATGTGTACATACTGCAAAGTGATCACTACAGTAAGTCTGCATAACATCCATCACTACAGAGTCACATTTTTTATCTTGTGATGAGACCATTTAAGATCTTAAGAGTCTTTCAAACATACTTGTTTAACTGCAGGCATCGTGTTGTACATTACACCCCAGGACTTACTTTGACCACCTTCACCCACTTCACCCATCTCCCAACCCACACCTCTGACAACCACCAAAACGTTCTCAGTAGCTATGATTTTTTTTTTTAAGATTCCACATATAAGTGAGATTATACAGTATTTGTCTCTGTGACTTCACTCACTTAGCATAATGCCCTCATGGTCCATCTGTGTTGTCACAGATGGCAAGACTTCCTCATCTTATGGTGGAATAATATTCCACTGCATACTTGTACCACAGTTTCTTTCTTTGCCCACCGTCAAACCCAGAGTGCTTTCATGTCATGGCTGTTGTAAAGAATGCTGCGGTGAACACAGTGGTGCAGATAGCCTTTTGAGTTAGTATTTTTATTTCCTTTGGACAAATGCCCAGAAGTGGATGGATTGCTGGATCACACAATTCTAATTTTAATGTTTTGAGGACTCCCCATTCTGTTTTCCAAAGTGGCTGTGCTAATTTACATTCAGATCAATTATACACGTGGGCTCCCTTTTCTCCACATCCTTCCCAAAACTTGCTGTCTTCTGATAACAGCCATTCCAACAGGTGTGATGTGGTACCTCACTGCGGTTCTGACCTACACCTCGCTGATGACTAGCGATACTGAGCATCTTCCACGTGCCTGTCGGCTGTCTGCATGTCTTCACTGGAATAATGTCTATTCACATCCTCTGACCATTTTTTAATCTGATTTTTTTTTTGCTATTGAGTTGTAGGAATTTTTAATATATTTTGGATATTACTTACCAGATACGTGATTTGCAAATACCTTCTCCCATTCAGTAGGCTGCCTTATTATGATATTGAGAGTTTCCTTTGCTGTGTAGAAGCTTCTCAACTTGATGTAGTCTCAGCTGCTTATTTTTGCTTTTGTTGCTTTTGCATTTGGTGTCAAATCCAAAAAATTACCACCAAGGCTGAAGTCAAGGAGCTTACCACCTTTATTTTCTTCTAAAAAATTTATTTCAGATCTTATGTTCAAGTCTTTAATCCACTTGGAGTTGATTTTTGACTCTGGTGTAGGACAAAGGTCCAGGTTTCCCAACGCCATCTACTGAAGATACTGTCATATCCTCTCGTATATTCTTGACTTCTTGGTCATAAATTAATAGGCCATTTACGCACGGGTTGATTTCTGGGCTCCTTTGATTTCTGTTCCATTGATCCATGTCTGTTCTTATGCCAATAAAATACACTGTTTTGATTACCACTACTGCGTAATGTAACTTGAAATCAGGAATTGTGATGTCTCTAGCTTTGTTCTTTTTCAAGATGCTTTGGTTGTTTGGGGTCTTTTGTGGTGCCACACAAATTGTAGAATTGTTCTATTACTGTGAAAAATGGCTTCATAATTTGACGAGGTGTGATAATCCATGAACACAGTTTATTTTTCCATTTATTTGTATCTTCCTCAATTGCTGTCATCAGTGTCTTAGTTTTCAGTGTAAAGACTCATCTCTTTGATTAAAGTTATTCCTAAGTATTTTATTCTCTTTGATGCAATAGTAAATGTGACTGTTTTCTTAATTTCTCTTTCTGATAATGTTTTTAGTGTAGAGAAATGCAACTGATTTTTATATACTGATTTTGTATATTGCAACTTTACGGAATTTGTTAGTTCTAACAGTTTTTTTTTAAGTTTTCAGGATTTTCTATATATAATACATCATCTGCAGATAGAGACAGTTTCATTTCTTCCTTTCCTATCCAAATGCATTCTATTTCTTTTTCTTGCCTAACTGCTCTGGCCAACACTTTCAATTCTCTGTTGAATACACGTGGCAGGAGAGGGCATCCCTGTCTCGTCCTGCTATCAGGGCAAAGTCTCCTGCTTTTAACCAGTGAGTATGTTAGTTGTAGGCTTGTTAAATATGGCCTCTTTAAAGATGAGGCACATTCCCTCTGTGCCCACTTTGCTGACAGTTTTTACCATAAAGGGATGTTGAATTTTTTCAAACGCTGCTTCTGCGTCTATTGAGATGCTCACGTGATCTCGCCCTTCGCTCTGTTAACAGGGGCTGTCACTGACTGACGTCTGGATGCCAGACCACCTTGCATCCCCGGAACATATCCCACTCAACTGTGGGATGGGATCCTTCTAAGGTAGTCCTGACTTTGGTTTGCTAATAGTTTGTTGAGGATTTTTTAATCTATGTTCATCAGGGACACTGACCTGTAATTTTCTTTTCTTGCAGTGACCCTGTCTGGTTTTGGTATGAGGGTAATGCTGGCCTTATAAAATAAGCCTGGAAGTGTTCCTTCTATTTTTTGGAAGAGTCTGGGAAGGACAGGTGTTCCCTCTACCTGTGAAGCCACCTGGTCCTGGACTTTCGTTTCTTGGGAGGCTTTTGATTGCTGATTCAACCTCCTGAGTATTAATCAGTCTGTTCAGATTTTCCATTTCTTCATGATGCAGTCTTAGCAGGTTGTATGTTTCTAGGAATTTATCCATTTCTTCTAGGCTGTCCAGTATTCCGGCGTATGACTGCTCATGGCAGTCTCCTTGATCCTTTGCACTTATCAGCTGCAACGTCTCCCCTTTCATTCCTGCTTTTATCTGAGTCCTCTACTAACTCTGAGCGCCGTTCATTCTTTCTCTAGTTTCTTGAGGCGCAACGTTAGGTTATTTGAGAGCTTTATTTCTTAACACAGGAGTTCATTGCTATGAGCTTCCCTGTTACAACCTGCTTTTGCTGCATCCTGTAAGTTTTGGGATGTTGGATTTCCATTTTCATCTGTCTCAAGATATTTTTTTGGTTCCTTCTTTGATCCATTGGTTGGTTAGTCGTGTGTTGCTCAATCTGAATGTATTTGTGGACCCTTCAGTTTTCCTCTTGGAACTGATTTCTAGTCTCACTGCGGTTAGAAGAGATGCTTGCTATGAGTTCAATATTCTTAAACTTACGAAATATGCGACTTGTCCTGGAGAATGTTCCGTGTGCCCTTGAGAAGAACGTGCATTCTGCTGCTTTCGGATGGAGTGTTCTGTATATCTGTGAAGTCCATCTGGACTGAAGTGTCATTTAAGTCTGTTTCTTTACGGAATTTCTGCCTGGATGACCCACCCTCTGACGAAAGCGGGATATTAGACCCTTACCATCACTCTCTTACTGTCTATTTCTTCCTTGACTTCTGTTAATATTTGCTTTATGTATTTAGGTGCTCCTTTGTTAGGTGCGTAAGTACTCTCTCAGATTTCCACCTTCAAGTCTTGCTCAAATCTTACCATCTGAGGTCCATGCCACTCTCCTTAGTACCGTAAGCTGTCCCTATCATCCCCACACACACGTGTAAAATTCCTTAACCTGCTCTACTGTTTTCCCATAGCATTTACTTTCTAATATGTGATACAACTAACTTATTCATTATGTTTATTATTTGCTTCCCCCTTCTCAACAGTAAGTTCTATGAAGACAGGACTCTGTCTGTTCTGTTCATTGTTATGTCCCAAGTGCCTAGAACACTGCCTGGCACATAGTAATCGTTGAATGAATGAAGAAAAAGGTAGATTTAAGTTTATTAGTCTTTCTTTACTCATGTGAATCGTAAAAAGTTTAAAAATATTTATTATTTAATTAATAAATCATTACATGCAAACACTGCAAAAGCTCTGATAAAGAAATGTGAAATTCTGTAACTTGGACTTCACTCATCTGGCACTGAATCACCTTCATTTAAATAGGGCCACTGAATATGGTTGTATAGGCTGCAGACTGAACCAAGCTGCCCAGCTAGGGGGCAACAGAGGCCAGAATGTCCTGGGCTGATACCACACACAACTGCTCATTTCTAACACGCACGGAAGTGCAGGTGCTCGCACAGCCTGGTCTGAAACACACAAGCTTAAAAACCTACTGATATTTAATGAAAACCCATCTGAAATGTATTACATTTCCTGGGAACATGACTGTGCCCAATGACTCAAGGCTTTAATTACATTCTTCCCACTTACAACTATGAGTAGCAAGTCAAGGCAGAAAGTACCTGAGTTGAAACACACAGATCGAAGGTAAAATTCTGGCCTCCTCTGCTATTAAGAATGAGACCTGGAGTAGCTTCCTAACTTCTCCCACCTCAGCTTCGAACTCTGAAAACTGGAATAATAATAGTTCCTTCTGCATTACCTGTATTTTCTTCTTTCCTGTGTTCTTGATGCTCGGGCATCTGGAGCCCTGCTGACTGGGGAGAGTGCCTCTCCCAGGGCTGTGGATTCTTACAGAGATAACAAGGAATGCACCTCTCGGCATACAAACGGCTGATCCAAAGCCCAGGGCCCGCACTCAAGTCACCTCCTTCGTGTGGCTCTCACGCTCCAGGGAGTCATACAGCCCTGCCCTAATCACCCCAGAGACCACCAGATGATTTCAACTAGATAGCACTAGGCACACTCACCCTGCCGCACCCGCCTTCCACACAGACGCCACAGTAAAGGCTCTGCGGCGTCCCTGGGTGGCCCTGCCTGATGTGGCGTGACCCCTCCCTTGCAAACTGTTAGTTACAAACTATCTTCTCAGTGGTGATCATCTCCTCATCTGTTGGCTTCACCACACCTGAATTATAATAAAACTTGCATTTTAAAATACCTTCATAGGGTTTTTAGGAAGAATAAATACAAAAGTAGTTTTCAGCACAATAATCCCCCTTTCAAAATGAAACATTTAAATGTGGGGGAAAAAGCACAATAAAAATGCTAGAAGAAAACCTCAGTGAATATGTGTATAAACCTACAGTGAACAGACTAAAGCAAGAGATCATAAATAAAAAGTAATGCTTCAAAAAGATAAAATTTTGATTCAATAAGAAGAAAACAGAGTTATCAGACATAAACCAAAATTGTGGGAAAACATTTGTAACTCACAACAGAAAAAGGATTAATATCTATAGACAGGAAACAGGTTAGTGGTTCCATGGGGCTGGGGATTTCACTTTTCCTGTAAAACCGTGTAAGTCTCATCAACTCAAATAAAAGTAATTACTTCTCTAAATCGATAGCCAACTGTTAGACTGCGATTGAAAACATTTTGAATTACTAAAAAAAGCTCACTATATCCTGTTTAACATTCATTTACTTACAAATAAACATGTATATAAGAAAGTAAATTTCAACCCCGTCTGTCCTCTGAGCCATTATGAATTCTAACTAGTAGAATTAAAATAAAGTATATCCACTTAAACAAAGAATGAAAGAATCCTTTATGAATATGGCATCTTAAAAAGTCTTAAATATATATTTTAAGATAGAAACAAGACTTACCGTCCAAAATTTTATAAAGTACTGTAAAACTGTTGCAGCCACGAAAAGGCAATATAATAGAGAGTATAGTAAAAACAGCAGGAAGAATTTGTAATTAGAAAATCCCACACAGTTATTCACCCTGGAAGAATAAAGAAAGTCACATTGTAAAAATAAGACAAATTCACAGAAACAAAAACTAGAATGGTGTTTGCTAGGAACTGAGGGGATGGTTTAATGGATACAGAGTTTCAGTTTTGCAACATAAAAAAAAGTTCTGGAGACTGGTTGCTCAACAGTGTGAACCTACTTAACACAACTGAACTGTGTGCTTAGAAATGGTAAAGATGGTAAATTTTACTTTTTTCAACCACAATAATAACAAATAAGACAGATCAAAAAACTTAAAATCATTGTGACTTGGAAATGGGCCATTTAGGAAGTAGGGAGCAGTGTCTTAATTATAGATGTGAGTTTTTAATAAATTCTGTAAGAAATGCGGAATTTTAATGTTAATTATTAATATACAGTTATTTGGGTTAATAACATCAGAATATATTTTTAAAGGAAAAACATGTAACAGAAATAAGAAAGTAGATCCAATCTTGATACCTATGACTAATTAAACTGCCATCCAGACTGAGGAACGCTGACGTACATCCTCTAAGTTCTCTCCTTCCCACCTCTCCACCCCCATGTCACTTCCTCTATTTTTCATACGTACCAAGGACAGTGATGATCCATCTTAAGAACACATCTAAGAAACAAATAAGCATAAGAAAATCCATGTTGAAAAATTCCTAATTTCTGATAATTTTATTTTTTTGTTTTTTTGACTAATTCTAATTTCTGATAATTTTCTTTTTTTTTTGACTTAAAAATTTCCCTTTAGCAATACATCTTAGAAAAACCAACCTAGAAAACATTAGGTTAGAGAAAATTTCTGGTATTTACACAAACACTTTTGTAGGTAGGAGGTACTGACTTTTCATGCTGGGAACTCAGCTGAGCATAGCCAGCTCCCTTGGACCACATCCAATAGCATTTTAACACAGATATGGTGCATATAGCACTTGGTACACAAGATAGGTCTAGCTCACAAAATCAGCCAAGAAAGATCAAAAGAAAGTTATTTTAAACATGTGTGAGTCATAAAAATAAACCTTCACAAGCAAATATTGCTACAATGTTATCAGGCTCGCAGGTGGTTACTTTTCCCACGTATTTTATCAAATTCTATCCCGTGGATAGGAACTACGGTACTTTTATAATCAGAAAAAAAAATCCCAAATGTGCGTCTCCACCAGCACATGTAACCTGTATGTGTATAAAGTTAGACCACAGATCTTCTCAGACAGTAACAAATAAGTAAACTGACACCTGTAAGGTCAGGCTTGTCCTACTGCAGTGCGGGACTAACTGGGATTTCCACACAGGGGCCCTTCCTTTAACAGACTACCTTCTCACAAGAGCATAAGGGATAAAATCTTTCCAACTTTTCTGGAAACAATGTCACAGGCGGTGATTGAAAGCAATATTTTTGTGGGTTTTTTAGGTTTTAATATTAAAATGAATAATAAAAAACAAGAAAACTGTCATTATGACCTTTTTGATCCAGGAAATAAAATTACCTTTCTCAAGGGATGTTACTTGCTCATCAATATTGTCCTGAGCGTTAAGCACAGGAAGTACACACACTTAGAGAAAATTCTAACTGGCACAGGGACTACTATCGAAGAGTCCTTCAAAGTGTGTTCTAGCTTATACACATCATTACGTTAGCTCTGTACACAGAGCAAACAACGGGAGAGGATGCAGTGCTGGGGAGCTTCCTCCCCCTTCTGTTCTCCCATCACCACTTCCAGTGCTGCGTTAAGTGGAAGCAAACGCATCAGTAACACTTACATGTCACATGCTGAGCAGTGATGAGCGCGGTCGGGTTTGATCAACTGACATCTCTCACAATATCTGATGGCTACATTAAAGAATTAAAAGGAAGTTGTTGAAGGATGCACATTTAGAGTTTAATTAATTTGACTGTAAAAGTTACTTTCATTTCTTATAACAACTCTGGGAAACTGACAACTAATAGTTGTAAAATAATACCGAAATGCATTGGAGAGTTTCTGAAATCATAACATCAAGAGACAGAAGGGAATCTCAGAAATGAAATTGGTCCGGCAACATTCAGATGAAAAAGCAGATCCAAGGAAACCAGTGACTGGTGTGAGGTCAAACACGTAATTGAGCGGCAGAACTCAGACTGAACAGCAAAACTGAGAACATAGCATTGAAAAAAACTCCGAACTTCTTCCCACTGAATTCTAATATATACAGTTTATGTGTTCATTCATTCAAAACACAGTGGGCACCTACTAGGGTACAGACACTGCTCAGGCATCGGTCCCTGCCTTCATGAAACCTACATTCCAGTGGGAAAGGGGGCGTAATAAGTAAGATAACCAGAGCAGTATGTGAGTGAGAGGTGCTGATGGGAAACTGCAGCAGGGAAAGGGAGCGGGTGTACTGTCATTTTAGAGACGTTTAATAAAACCGAAATTGAAGGAAGAAGTTAGTGAACCACATAGATATCTGGGGAGAAAGGAATCCGGCAGAGAGAACAGGCCTTGAGGTGGGGCTGTGCTTAGCTTGTTCAAGGAAGACTGAAAAACAGGCAGGAGAGAGGTCAGAGAATAAGAGGAAGTCGGCTCAGAGAAGGCTTCCTTTCCCCACTCAGCTCAAGTACTGACAGAAAAAAAGCGGAGAGTACAAAGTCCACTGGAGCGAGAGCTCCACCTCAATCTGTAAAGTTCAGAACCTGAGGTTTTGGCTTTTGAAATTGATTTATTTATTTGGTTTTTGAAATTTAAAACTAGATCTTTGAGATTCCTGAGGGAAATGTCCCAAGACTTCACAAATCAATAAATTCTTTAAAACTACTATTTTGGATGAATAGAGAATGATAAAATTACAGTGAGGTGCTAACCTTCTTCCACATGGTGGCCTCCAAAGTAAACCTGGCAACAAGACGTGTTACCATGGGTCTTTCTTTAACTCAGAAGCCCTCCTGACCTCTGCAGTGTGGAGGACTCCCACCGGGGCGCCTGCCTGGCCTCTAACCACTCTCTGCGGAAGAGACTTCAGACCCCCTGGCGTGTGAGCCCACCCTCCCCCCTAGTCCACTCCTGTGAACTGAGCACGAGGACTGAGGGACAGTGAGTCACACCTGCATTCACTGGAAATGAGGCACAAGTGATGGCTACATCCTGCCTACGGGTAATGGGTAAGAAAAGAGAAGTCATGTTCCATGTGAGCTGGGAAACCAACCAGCTCATGTGGCTCGCTTCACTGGGACATTCGCTTTACTGCGGTGACCTGGAACTGAACACACAGTATCTCCAAGGTGTGCCAATATTAAATGCAAGAAAAACTAAAACGTTGGTCAAATATCCCCTCCTAAAACCTTGCACAAATTTTAAGTTTCCTTAGTCAGAATATGTACATAATTATAGAAAGGGAAAGTTCCTTTACTTCCCCTTGGAGCTGGGAGGCACAGTGGGGTGCAGAGCCAGAGCACCTACTCAAAGCCCCGTGTTTTCACATACTATCTGTATGGCCTGGAACGAGGTACTTAACGTCTGTGCCTCAGTTTCCTCATCTGCAGGATGGAGACAACAGTCTCTCCCTCCACAGGCAGCTGTGAAGTTTGAATGAGTTCATGTGTGTGAAGAACTCAGATTAGAAAACTGCCAGCTATTCCCATCTACTGGGACCTGAACGAATTAACGAGGCATATGATACACAACTTAAAGCAATTTCCTGTACTCGAACATCCAGTCTGGCCACTCACACACTCAGCCCTGTCCTAAGGCTCCACCTCTGGGAAAAGGAAGCTGCTTTTCAGTCACACACGTCAATGGAGGCAGCAGGACAGCAGAAACACCACGGCTTGGGAATGGGAAACCTGAGTTCAAATCTCGGGCTCTCAGAATTAGCTTCACAACCCTGAACAAGTTTCTTCCCCTCTGTGTCTTTTATTTCTCCACATTCTAAGCTAGCACACTCTTGATTTTAAAAAAATTACTCAGTGATGACACACAATACTCAAATTCAAACCAGAATTTCCAAAGAGTTTACCAAAAATAACAAACATATTAGCCATGAAGGTTGAGTTGGGAAAAAAAAGAACATGCAGAGAAAAGAGATTCATACTAAAGTCAGCCCCTTTAAAAAATCTATATTGAAAAATGTATTCATCTATCTCTGAAATACCACAGAAGACACAGAACACAGGAAAATCTTGTTCCTGCAAATGTTACTTGTAATCACAATATCCACTTAATAGTCAAATCCTGCAAATATATCTTGGCAGAAATGACCATATTTTTAAAATTCTTTGGAAAGGAAAGCTTAAGGTTTGTTGTTCTTACCCCTTGAAGCCGACGTGGTATAGATAGGTAAGTCCCTTGCTGCTCTTCTCAAAATTTCTTGTTGTCTTTCTTGGCTGAATTCCTTCTCATAACGTTCCTTTTCAGAATTGGACAAGTAGAACTATAAAAGGAGAAATAACTATTAATTATTTTTAACCCCATATTATTAACTATCATGCTCAGAAAAGCAAAGTTTAATCCAGAACAGAAAAAAACCCAAAAATATTTTCTTTGATGAAAGCAAAACCTCTCTTCAAATTTCTTTAAGAGGCTAAATCCAAGCACATTTTAACAAAACTACATACCTGTGATAGATTAAAAAAAAATGCCCTCTATACTAATGATGGCAAAATATAAGAACTAAATATTTTTACATCTTTGTTTTTTCCAGAGAAAATTAACTTTCTCCATCAAAAAGGGCTTAGTATATATTTTCTGCTGGTTAAAAATTCTAGTGTTTGAAAGTTAGTGTTAAGAGATCTTTAATTTTTGGAAGGATGTCCAAAGACTCACTGGCTTTGGGTAACAGGCTAAGTCACAGGCGTGGGGGCCTACTATCTGCTTGATCTTGATGGGTCATATTGTAA